AGTCAAAAAGAGTCCCATAATGTGGTCCTAACCATGTCTTCTTCACCTGTGTATTCCCAGCACCCAGAACAATTCTGATGCTCAGAAAGTACCTAGAAATTGTTTGTTGACACTCTAAGTTGTCTGTAAAGCAGATGATAAGTTCAAAGTTTAAAATTATTGTGATTCTTAAAAATAGCATGCATGCGGGCTTCCCTGGTGGTGCAGTGGTTGAGAGTCTGCCTGCCGATGCAGGGGACGCGGGTTCGTGCCCCGGTCCGGGAAGATCCCCCATGCCGTGGAGCGGCTGGGCGCGTAAGCCATGGCCGCTGAGCCTGCGCGTCCGAAGCCTGTGCTCCGCAATGGGAGAAGCCACAACAGTGAAAGGCCCGCGTACCGCTAAAAAAAAAAAAAGAAAGAAAATAGCATGCAATACCAGAGCCTCAAAGATAGTGTAAAGGATCGATTTCTTTTTGTCTTTTAGCATTCTTAACATTAAATAAGCTAAAATATGTTTAAATGCCTATTTCGTAGTAAACATTCAACAAAAATTGATTCCCTTTCTCCTTAAAATCAAGTTTCTTCTCAGCTGCCCCAGTTTGGATTTAACGTGCCCACAGACTCACACTAGCACATGTGAGTACTTGCTACCCATTGATTCCATTTAATTTGTTCTGAGGATTCATTGTGTGGAATTTTTAACTACAGCCATACCCTTTAGTGTACTTCCTTGAAGTGTTAAAAACGGTCTGTTGGGGCTTCCTTGGTGGCGCAGTGGTTGAGAGTCCGCCTGCCGATGCAGAGGGCACAGGTTTGTGCCCCGGTCTGGGAAAGGTTCCACATGCCGCGGAGCGGCTGGGCGCGTGAGCCATGGCCGCTGAGCCTGCGCGTCCGGAGCCTGTGCTCCGCAATGGGAGAGGCCACAATAGTGAGAGGCCCGCGTACCGCCAAAAAAAAAAAGGTCTGGTTTTTTTTTTCAAAGAGGCTTTTTCTTTAATGTGCATAAGATCTGAGAGTTAGAAAAGACATTAGAGTTCATATAGTTGGATATATCAAGAACATAGATACAGGCCAGGAAATGATGCTATAATTGTAGCCTAGGACCACATTATAAGAGCCACATATGCCATTTTAAAAAATGGCCTTTTTCCTGGAGTTAATGTCACAGAACATTTGCAAGCAAGGCAGAGAGATGATCAGACCTGCTTTCTACAGCAAAATTTACATGCTATGCAGCCCAGGCCCCAGGCACAGAAACTTGTTTTTTTGTTTTGTTATTTTTATTTTTATTTTTTAACCATACAAGCTAGTTGTATTTTATCAACAGGATGCCACAAAGGACCACAATAAAACCAGACTGAAAAGGCTAGATCCAAGATGGTGGGCAAAGTAGGCTAAAGGTCACTGCTTTCCTTGCCTTGATTTATCTCTGTGTTTCCATACCAACCCCTGAGAGCTGAAATACACTTGCCCTGATTTATCTCTGTGTTTGTTTCAAAATACCTCCTGGTATTGGCAGAGATGCTTTGCAGCTGTATTTTAAGAGATACGTGCTTTGAGAGATATACAATGGTCAACTGCTCCTAACCAGCTTTGACTTGATCACAGGAATGTTCCTGCTCAGATGAAACCTGGAGGTATCTGAAAGTTACCTTCACTTCATTACGATGCTAAGATCTCCACCCAAAGTGGGGATTTGTACTCTTCTAGGGACAGTTGGTGCATGAAAAGGAACATGAAAGACTGTGCATGCCCCGGCTGCCCATGAAAATCTCTGCTCCTTTCCTAGAGCTCTGTTGACCTGTTTGCTTAAAATTCCCTTACTCCTCTCCCTTTGGGGAGAGGTGCTTTTAGAGCATGAGCTCCCCTTCTCCATTCTCTGGCCATTGAATAAAAGCCTGTCTTGCTTGTACCAAACTCAGTTTCATTATTGGCAGTGTGAAGCTGAGAGAGAAAGAACTCCCTGATAGAGCCAGGGGATCTTCAGTTCAGCTAGGGCCCCAAGAAGGGGGCCTCGAATCTAATTTGGTAACACAATTTCTGTTTGAATATTTGTACTTAATAGAGAGCTCATTTCTCCCCACATTTATCTATGCTAGATGTTAGAAGTTCTTCCTTTACTGAGCTGAAATCTTTCTACTATAATGTCTTTTTTTTTTGGTAATTCTTACCTCAAGAGTAACACCATGTCTCTTTTTCTTCATGTATAAAAACAAGGATGTGAACTAGATGAACTAGGGCAGGAAAAGTGTCTAAAGGTCTTTAATTCTGACATGAACTCCCTTTAAGTCAGCTATTTTACTTTCTCTAAATCAAATCTTCTCCCCCCTTTTTCTCCAAAACAAAAATAAGATCCAACTCCATTCTAACAATTTGCTTATGACCAATTCTAGTGTGTTAGGACAATCTGCACTCTGATTCATTGTTGTATCCTATAAAATGTCATGCATTCTGTCCAGAAGTAAATCTTCACATATATGGTCAAATGATTTTTGATAATGGTGCTGATACCATTCAATGGGAAAAAGTCTTTTTGACTGGGAAAATGGTGCATGGATAGTCACATTGCAAAAGAATGAAGTTGGACCCTTACCTAACACCATATGAAAAAATTAACTCAAAATGGATCTGAGACCTAAGTGTAAGACCTAAAATAATAAAACTGTTAGATAAAAATATAGGGCAAAACCTTCACAACATTGGATTTGGCAATGACTTCTTGGATATGACACTAAAGGCACAGGCAACAAACAAAATATGGACAAATTGGACTTCAAGAAAATTAAATTTTTGTGCACAAAAGACAGTATCAACAGAGTAAAAAGGCAACCCACAGAATGGGAGAAAATGTTTGCAAATCATATATCTGATAAGGAATTAATATCTACAATATAGAGAGAACTAAAACTCAACAACAAAAAACCAAACAACCTGATTCAAAAACAGGCAAAGGACCTGAATACACATTTCTCTGAAGAAGATATACAAATGACCGGTATGCACATGAAAAGATGTTCAACATTGCCAATCATTAGGGAAATGCAAATCAAACCTATAACGAGATACCATTGTATCTCACACCCATTAAGATGGCTACTATCATAAAACAAAAAACAAAAAAACTAGAAAATAACAAGTGTTGGTGAGTATGTAGAGATATTAGAACCCTGTGCACTGATGGTTGGAATGTAAAAAGATATACCTGCTGTGGAAAACAGTATAGTGGTTCCTCAAAAAATTAAAAATAGAATTACCATATAGGAACTTCCCTGGTGTGCAGTGGTTAAGACTCCGCCTGCCAATGCAGGAGACATGGGTTCAAGCCCTGGTCTGGGAAGATCCCACATGCCATGGAGCAACTAAGCCCATGTGCCACAACTACTGAGGCTGTGCTCTAGAGCCCGCGAGCCACAACTACTGAGCCCGTGTGCCACGGCTACTAAAGCCTGCGTGCCTAGAGCCCATGCTCCACAACAAGAGAAGCCACTGCAATGAGAAGCCCGCACTTTGCAACAAAGAGTAGCTCCCGCTTGCCACAACTAGAGAAAGCCCGCATGCAGCAACGAGGAACCAATGCAGCCAAAAATAAATTAATTAATTAAAAAAAAAAAAAAGACTCCATGCTCGCAATGCAGGGGGCCCAGGTTCAATCCCTGGTCAGGGAACTAGATCCCACATGCATGCCGCAACCATGGAGCTGACAAGCTGCAACTAGGGAGCCCACCTTCCACAACTAAGACCAGCACAACCAAAAAAAAAATTCTAGAAACACTGACTCCTTCTTTTAAAACAAACAAACAAAAAGAATTACCATATAATTCAGCAATTACACTTCGGGACATATACTCCAAAGACTTGAAAACTGGGTACCAAAGAGGTATTTTACACCCATATTCATAGCAGCATTATTCACAATAGCTAAACAGTGAAAGCAATCCAAGTATTCATTGACAGATGAATGGATAAGCAAATGTGGTATATACATGTAATGGAATATTATTCAGCCTTAAAAAGAAAGGAAATGCATACCTAGGAATAAACCTACCTAAAGAGGAAAAGACATATACTCAGAAAACTATAAAACACTGATGAAAGAAATCAAAGATGACATAAACAGATGGAGAAATATACCATGTTCTTGGATTGGAAGAATCAATATTGAGACAATGACTATACTATGCAAAGCAATCTACAGATTTAATGCAATCCCTATCAAATTACCAATGGCATTCTTCACAGAATTAGAACAAAAAATTTAACAATTTGTATGGAAACACCAACAAAGCCAAACACCCAAATAGCCAAAGCAATCTTGAGAAAGAAAAACGGAGCTGGAAGAATCAACCTCCCTGACTTCAAACTATACTACAAAGCTACAGTAATCAAAACAGTATGGTACTGGCACAAAACCAGAAATATAGATTAATGGTACAGGATAGAAAGCCCAGAGATAAACCCACACACATACGATCACCTAATTTATGACAAAGGAGGCAAGAATATACAATGGAGAAAAGACTGCCTCTTCAATAAGTGGTGCTGGGAAAACTGGATAGCCACATGTAAAAGAATGAAATTAGAACATTTCCTAACACCATACACAAAAATAAACTCAAAATGGATTAAAGACCTAAATGTAAGACCAGACACTATAAAACTCTTAGAGGAAAAAGTAGGAAAAACACTCTTTGACATAAACCACAGCAAGATCTTTTTTGACCGACCTCCTAGAGTAATGAAAATAAAAACAAAAATAAATAAATGGGACCTAATTAAACTTAAAAGCTTTTGCACAGCAAAGGAAACCATAAACAAGATGAAAAGACAACCCTCAGAATGAGAGAAAATATTTGCAAACGAAGCAACAGACAAAGGATTAATCTCCAAAATATACAAACAGCTCACGCAGCTCAATATCAAAAAAACAACCCAATCCAAAAATGGGCAGAAGACCTAAATAGACATTTCACCAAAGAAGACATACGGAGAAGCCAGTAGGAGCCTGTGATGTCGTGCCGTTGTCTGAAGATTCTTCAATCACTATGTCAAGTGACACAGATGTTTCTCTTTCTTCATTTGATGAAGATCAGGGATCTAAACTTATCCTAAAAGCTAGAGAGGCACCATTTGTCCCCATTGGAATGGCAGGTTTTGCAGCAATCTTTGCATATGGATTATATAAATTGAAGAGCAGGGGCAATACTAAAATGTCTGTTCACTTGATCCACATGCGCGTGGCAGCCCAAGGCTTTGTTGTGGGAGCAATGACTCTTGGTATGGGCTATTCCATGTATCAAGAATTCTGGGCAGAACCTAAACCTTAGAAGAGGAGATGCTGTCTTGGTCTTGGTGGTGCTTGCTTTAGTTAGACATCTCATATTGGGGTTATATGTTTATGTTGAAAATAAATTCTATGGGTCGGACAATAACATGATAATATGAATATTGGCTTCCTTTCTTGCAGGCTTGATTTGCCTAGTGACTAGTTCAATAGCTAGGTCATTCAGGGGAGTCAGATTAGCACAAAAACATGTCACTTTTAAATGCACTTGATAGTGGTACAGTGTCCACCTTCTTAAACTCTTCTGATAAAATTAGTTGTAAAGAGGACAACATGTCAAACCTGAAAATGCTCCCAGTTGCTGCAGAATATCATATGCTTTTGATGTAATGTAGGAATCCTATTTACCCCAGTTAATTTAACTCTTTCTGACTGCCTTGTGGACTGAGTACTGTTTTTAAGGTCTGGTTGGCTCTTGAAGAACCCTTTCAGAACAGTGCATGGAATACAACATTATAAACCTCCCAGCAACTATGTGTGTGTTTTTAAATCAAAACTAAAGAGCTGGTAACAGTTGCTTTGAAGTAGTATCTGTTTCAGAATCATAGTTGTAAACATGAGAATAACTTAACTGTAGATCCCCGTTTAGCTGTTTTGTAATTGCAGAATTATAGTTTGCTGCTGTTATCTTAGAATAATTTTTAAATGGCATTTTGAAATAGAAGTGTGTATTTTAAGTGCTAATGCAAAGGTAAATGAAAAATACTTTTTAAATGTGTGCAGTCTGTTTATTTTCTCTGAAAGAATCATAAATGTTAAACTAAATAAATTGCCTGTAATGGAAGTGATTTATGAGCAAGCTGGTTTGGTCAGACATTATACAAACTTTGGTATACTACAGAATGCTTTGTTGTACTTGTGAGATTCTCTTGTCTAACCTGAATTTACATTCCATGGTGATAACATGGTAAATGTAGTGTTATTAAAGTAAGTGAACACACACACACACAAAAAAAGAAGACATACAGATGGCCAAGAGGCACATGAAAAGATGCTTGGCATCACTAATTATTAGAGAAATGCAAATCACAACTACAATGAGCTATCACCTCACACCAGTCAGAATGGCCATCATCAAAAAATCTAGAAACAATAAATGCTGGAGAAGGTGTGGAGAAAAGGGAACCCTCTTACACTGTTGGTGGGAATGTAAATTGATACACCGACTGTGGAGAACAGTATGGAGGTTCCTTAAAAAACTAAAAATAGAACTACCATATGACCCAGCCATCCTACTACTGGGCATATACCCTGAGAAAACCATAATTCAAAGAGTCATGTACCCCAATGTTCACTGCAGCACTATTTACAATAGCCAAGACATGGAAACAACCTAAATGTCCATCGACAGATGAATGGATAATTACTCAGCCATAAAAAGGAATGAAATTGGGCCATTTGTAGAGATTTAAATGGACCTAGAGTCTGTCATACAGAGTGAAATAAGCCAGAAAGAGAAAAACAAATATCATATATTAAGGCATATATGTGGAATCTAGAAAAATGGTACAGATGAACCTATTTGCAGGGCAAGAATAGAGGCATAGACGTAGAGAACGTACATGTGAACATGGGGGGGAAGGGAAGGGTGGGACAAATTGGGAGATTAGGATTGTCATATATACACTACCATGCATAAAATATATAGCTAGCGGGAACGTCCTATAAGGCACAGGAAGTTCAGCTCGGTGCTCTATGATGACCTAGATGGGTGGGATGGTGGGAGGGGGGACAGGAGGTCCAAGAGGGAGGGGATATATGTATACATATAGCTGATTCACTTCATTGTAGAGCAGAAACTAACACAATATTGTACTCCAATATTGTACTTTTAAATTATACTCCAATTTAAAAAAAAAAAAGGGAAATTCTACATATGCTACAACATGGATGAACCTTAATGACACTGTGCTAAATGAAATAAGCCAGTCACAAAAAGACAAATACTGTGTGATTCTACTTACATAACGTACTTAGAATAGACAAAATCGTAGAAAGTAGAATGGTGGTTGCCAGGGACTGGGGAGAGGGGAGAATGAGGAATTACTGTTTAATAAGTATAGCGTTTCAATTTTGCAGATGAAAGAAGTTCTGGAGATGAATGGTGGTGATGGTTGCACAACAATATGAATGTATTTAATGCTACTGAACTGTACACTTAAAAATGGTAAAGATAAGGCTTCCCTGGTGGCGCAGTGGTTGAGAGTCTGCCTGCCGATGCAGGGGACATGGGTTCTTGACCCGGTCTGGGAGGATCCCACATGCCGCGGAGCGGCTGGGCCCGTGAGCCATGGCCGCTGATCCTGCGCGTCTGAAGCCTGTGCTCCACAACGGGAGAGGCCACAACAGTAACAGGTCTGCGTACCGCAAAAAAAAAAGGTAAAGGTAGTACATTTTATGTTTTGTGTATTTTACCAGAACATTAAAAAATTGTTAAAAAAAAAATGACATGCACTCTGATGAGTTCTGGAGCTGCAAAGCTCTTTTCCCTCAAGGGGCTCTCAGAAATGTAAACAGGTACTGATAGAACATGATAATTGCCATAATAAGTTTATGTATGAGAACACAAATAAAGGATAACTAATTTTGTCTGGGAGAGAATAATCTTTTGTTAGGAAAGAATGATCAACAAAAGTTTGGATAATAAATATTCTTGAAATATCCTTGAAGGGTGAGTGAAACAGCCATCTAAAGGAGAGGAGGAGCATTCAAGATGTAGAGTAGGAAAAGGGCAGGACATGTTTCAGGAATCTGCAAGAATCTGGAATACTGGAGGGCAGGGTACAGGAGATGATACTGGAGAGATGGGCAGGGGCAGATCATGAGGCCTGCAATACCATGCTAAGCCCCTGGCCTTAACCTGAAAGGTAGTCCTTAAAGGGTTTCAACCAGGAGAATGATGTAGTCATATTTCAATGTTAAAAAAATTGATTAGCAGTGGGTAGATAAGAATAGAGGAGCCAAAACTGAAGGCAGGGAAAACAGTAAGGGGATATTGTAGAAAATCAGGTGAGGGATTATGAAAGCTTGAAATAAGCAGAAGCAGTAGGAATAGAAAAAAGGGACAGATCAGAGAGATGTTACAGTGATAGGATAACGAGACTTAAACGACTTATTAACTGTGTTGTGAATGGCAGAGATAAAAGTTCTCATGTAGAAGAGGTTATTCTTATCCAGGGAGGTTTCACTAGTGCCAACTCTGAACAACCAGTCGTGACTGCTGGTATGCAGTTTAGTAGAGGAGCCTAAAACTCAATCTAGGCGCAATAAGAAAGAATGATGAATTGGTAATTTCTGCCATGGATGCTGAATGGGAGAACACTAGCACATGACAGATATTTAACATTCCTATTCTCAGAGGAAACATTAAGATATACTATGTGTTTTAAGGAATGTATATGGTGTGTTTCCATTTTTTTAAATTCAAGAACAGAAAATTAATTTTTGTTGATGGAAGACAGAATAGTTGTAGTCTCTGGGTGGGGATGTAGATACAGACTGGAAAGTGGTACAGGGGAGTCTTTTAGAGTATTAGAAATTTTCTAGAGCTTGATCTGGGTGGTGGTCACACATGTATACATCTGTGAACAACCATTGAGTTGTGCACTTAAGTTTTGTGCTTCTTGCTATATGAATCTTATATATCAATTTAAAAAAGTGAAAAAAGTTAATATGTGTTTAAGGAATGGCAAGTAGTCTGATGTAGCATAGGGTAAGGAAGAAAGAAAAAGGTTAGCAGATTACTGGGATATAAAAGTTGGAGAAGTAGAATGGCAATAGATTGTGAAGGGTTTCGGGAGCCATATTAAAGAGTTTTGACTTGTTCCTACAGCTGTTGGAGAGTATCTAAAGTTTTAGATAATCCCATATCTCTGTTTTGGCTGTGCAGAGTCTACTTTGGAGAGAAAAAGGTGAAGAACAGTTTCTCTGACCCAGCTAGGATCTCAGACCCAGTATCTTCTTAGCTAAAGTTTATCAATTTTATATCCATCCTTGGAAATCACGAAAGGGAGGGGAATTCAATAATTACCTGTGAAAGTACTTGGCAAGTGACTTTAATTCAAACTTTAAATAATAAACCTAACATAACCACATTGCAAAAATCTCAAACCTAAAGAAAAGTGGCATAAACTATGGATAATCCTACTACAGTACTATTAGCATTTTGGTATACTGGACTTCCTACCAGTCTTTCTCCTTTTTTAAAAAAAAAAAACAGTTCACTCTTCAGGATACGGTAGCTGGCCTATGCTGATAGCAGAGTACCAGGGACTAGGTCAGATATGGAGAAGCATAACTAAAAGTAGTCTCTGACCATATTTTGGCAGGAGCAAGACAGAATCTAAAAGAAAACCAAATCAGAAATATGCGTCTAAAATGAGACACAGACCTACTAGAGAAAGGACTTGAGGATATGGGGAGGGGGAAGGGAAGTTGTGACAAAGTGAAAGAGTGGCATGGACATATATACACTACCAAACTAGCTAGTGGGAAGCAGCTGCATAGCACAGGGAGATCAACTAGATGCTTTGTGACCACCTAGAGGGGTGGGATAGGGAGGGTGGGAGGGAGGGAGGGAGATGCAAGAAGGAAGAGATATGGGAACATATGTATATGTATAACTGATTCACTTTGTTATAAAGCAGAAACTAACACAACATTGTAAAGCAATTATACTCCAATAAAGATGTATAAAAAAACCAATAAAATGAGGAGGCAAGGGGCAAGAGTGCAAAGGGTGGAAAGGTTCAAGTGCTAGCCGCTGTAGGAGGGCAGTATGTATACAGAAGTCCCTTTTACTGGGTGCCTACTGCATATTGTGAGCTGAATGTAGTTGCTTACAGTGTTGGACTGGATAGTTGTAATCTTAATGATTTTGTCTTATTTTCATTTAACCTTAAATCATATGCATTTCTCATGTTGTTATATAGTTTTCATAACCACTTGCATTTTAAGTTTTATTTTTAATAAAAGAATTTTAGGGGCTTCCCTGGTGGCGCAGTGGTTGAGAGTCTGCCTGCCGATGCAGGGGACTCGGGTTCGTGCCCTGGTCCGGGAGGATCCCACA